AGATAGATAGATAGATAGATAGATAGATAGATAGATAGATAGATAGATAGATAGATAGATAGATAGATCTGTAGCATTGTCTGTAGCTCTTGAAAATCTTTTGGACGAAATGTCGTCTGGTGTTCGTAGACGAGGCCAAAGCTCATTGGCGATGCCGACAAACCGTTTGCGACTGTACCAAGTGCATTACTACGCTCAAGATGGGCACGGCCAAGTGTCCCTTTGCAAGCATGACAAAGTCGCAAAAACAAAGCTAAACCTTGTCGACGTTATCTTGAAAAAATCATCATCTAATCACATTTCGCTAACTTTATGTAGAGTACAGAGTCCTTTTCAGTGAGGCCAAGCGGTATCTCGACAACCAGAAGATCCGGACTTGGTCGCGTCACACGGAAACGAGGATCAGTGTCCATTCGAGCTCCGTTCGCCAGCTGTATCTCAGGTCGGGCCATCGCGGTGCCCGGATGGTAGCCATTCCTAACTCGACACTCCATTCGTACGTACTGCATCGGTCGAACGGTGACCTCGTTGGGAAACAGGTCGATCCGAGGTCGAAACGGCGCTGGAGTCGGTGGTGACGGTGGCGGCGGCAGCGGCGTCGGCGTCGGCAACTGATGCGGAGGAGGCACGGGTTGAGGCGGCTGGGAAGAGGCTGGAGTCGCCAGGCAACAAATACAATTAAGAGGTTAAAGTGTAATGGGTGAGAGACAATGAATTGCACAACAAAGCAAACTTGTAACCAGAATGAGTAGACTGAGAAATTGTCAGAAAAATATGCGAAGAGTCTATTTGTTTTACTGGTTGAGCTGACTTTCATTTCGAGTAAAAGCCTGTGATGAAGAGATTTGAAGGTCTATCTCACCAGAAGACGAAGACAGATTCCTTTTGATCAGCTGTCGATTGGCTTAAATGGAGCATTCTTGTTGATGCTGTTTCCGAGGCAATCTCCTTCGATTCTGGTCAAAACGTGCTAAAATTTCACAGATATGACATAAACTGGGTTACGAAGAATTCCTTATTGATTCAGTTTAATATGATTTTCGATTTCGAAGCAAAAGTTGGTTGGAAGTAATTCGTGAAATAGTCGCAGCAAAAATCGAATGAGAATTGCCGCGGAGTAAAGACTGTCGAATTATGCGAAGAAGTCTTCGCCTTACCGTGCCACGACCCCGTAGAATCTGGGCTAACCTTCCGTATTTCCAGTTCTGACAGAAATCATCAAGCAAGCATCCATGTTTAATGAAATAAATAAATGGCCCGACCATTGAAACAATGTATAAAGAGATATAAACGTCTTCTTTCTAGAATTTAAAGACTCTCTCTTTGCATGGTTGTAGGCTGGTTTGTTAAGGTCTATCTGGAAGAGACCCGCCGACCTATCCAAAAAAGATTACGGGACGAAAAACTAGTTATTCTATGAGTTGGGATTATATTTGTGGCTGTTTGATGGGAATAAGATGAGGGAGGGAAAGAATCAACAGAATGATCCGCTGAGCGGAAAAAGGCTGGATCAGCCTCGAGTCTAACTGGGACTATCACACCTCCCCTGACCTACCTAAACATTACTCGACATTTGAGGATCGTAGGCTAATTTTTTTCAGAATATATGAAGACCAACATGTTGTGGCCTCTGTTATGGTAGCAGTCTCCTTTCTATTTATAGAAGTGGGTTAACCTCGTTGTTGAAACTTGGTCTTGTTGTCAAGGCGACTATGTAGAAGGCAACTTGTCCGAAGTCGTCCGCCATGGTAGTTGTCATGATTCCCAGCATCTGACAGTGGACTCGGTACATTCACAAACGTTTCGCGGGCTTCGTGGTCGGCATCATCAGTCAGTTTTGCCATTCTCTGCACCAAGCTACGGACTCGAAAAAAGAGACAAGTGAAGTCAATCCCTCGAAAAAAGTTCTGCCGAAAACAGTTACACTCTTACTCCTCATTCTGTCCTATCTACTGGATAGGATAAGAGTGTAAAGAGTAGATAGATAGGCAATTACAGAAAGAGGGATTGACTTAACTTGTCTCTTTGGCGAGTTCGTAGCTTGGTGCGGAGAATGGCAAAGCTGACTGATGATGCCGACTACGATGCCGGGAATCATGACAACTAGTGCGGCAGACGACTTCGGACTAGGTGCCTTCTACATAGTCGCCCTGACAACAAGACCAAGTTGCGACAACGAGGTAAACCCACTTCTTTTTTTTCATTTTCGTAAGGAAACAAATGCCACTGGATCTGTTCCGACTCATGAAGTAACTTCCCTCATCTGGAAGCATGTAGAGAAAGTTTGAGGTAGCCGAGCAAATCATGAGACGCCTCATTAAGATCGCAAGGTTAGTGTGAATAAAAATGTGACTAGGGTTGCAGAAGGCCAGCCTTTTTATTGGTTTCGTATATTTTTGCGCTATTTCGTATCATTTTTCTCTGATGATGTCTGTCGAAACGGGACAGACAAAAGCTTAACACGTGTCGATCGGGGTCGCAGGACAGTGGGCCGATAGGTTCTTGGCACAATTCAATAGTCTTCATTCCGCGGCTATCTTCCTTCGGTTTCCAGTGCGACCATTTCACAAACTGCTGCCAACCAACTTTCCCTTCAAAATGGAAAATCATGTCACAATAGTGCTAAACTCTTATCTGTGCCATGAGGGACATCATCAGCATTCCTACATTTATATTTAGGCTACGAAGAGGAACTGGGTTTTGATAAATCTTCTAAGATAACATTGTTAGGGAGACTTTCATTTGGTATGAAAGATGTGAAATTCGCTGTCACTAAAGGACACAACTGAGGCCGTTTAACTTTACTACCACATTCATATTGACCCAGTACCTCGTTTCGGGTGAAAACAGCTAAGCCTTCGTCCATCATATGAAGGAGATCATCAGAGCTGAAACTAATTCTTGTAAGAGCCTCGAGTTAGCATCAGGTCAAGAAGACTGTCCGGCTCTGCCTTATCTCTTTCATACACTCGCTATTGAAAAAAGAAAATGTATAGGCATATGAAGATACAGAATGGCTTGGCTAAATAAGAAATAAAAGTCTCTCCAGCATATTCAAACTCCTATTGGAATGGACAGGCAGAGGAAAGGGCCAACTGTATAAATAAATATTATTCAATGTTCTTTAAGCCTGAGACTATTAATATTATATTGAACCAAGGTCTGGCGTTTGCCAACTCTCTTTGAGAGAGCATTTTTGGTGCATAAGTTAAATTTGCTTGCATAAAGCCCTTTATTTTGTTGGTTTTGATCATTTAACATCATCGAGTATCCCTAAGCGAAAGATTTTATTTCCCTTATTTACAATATTTAACTCGATATAAGGTATATATAGCATTTTATGGATAAGCCGACTCATTATCTTGAATGTGATCGTAAAAATGAAACGTTGCTCCGATGATTTCCGTCATAGGATGGACGAAAGCCTAGCACACTTCCACCAGAGTCAGAGGAGATTGTCTTTGAAACGGCGTCAAAAAAGGTTCCAATAAAGCCAATCGTAAGCTGATGAAAAGAGATCCGCCGTTGTCTTCGAGCAGGAAAGCTCTTCGAATTTTGCACCAAACACTTTTAATCGAAATGAAGATAGGCATACCATCTACCAGTAGATCTTAAGTTAAATAACAAAGGAGTGGTGGTGAAATTTTCCCGTAATCATCAGATAATGGACTGGATTACCGTTTCGACCTCGCCTAAATTAATCTGATCAGTATCCTCAACGAGAATCGAACTAAAACAGATACCACTACGTAAAAATGCCACGAGTACCAGCGAGTAGTCACAGGACAACCCCACATTTTGTGGTGGGATTGCCAATGAAGTAAATTTTTATGTGCTTTTTAAATCGACTGCACTACTTGTGCTTATAATGAATAGGCTTCGTAACTGCCGGTAAATTTTGCATAAGAGCGGTATCCTTCCTCGATCGACTGAGGTGATGAAAGAATGATAGTTGAAATTGTATATCGCATTACCAGGATTTACGTCCCGCTTTGGGTGCCGGTGAGACCAGTTCA